ATCTTAAACTGTCCTGGGGCTCCTGGGGGGTTGTCGGTGAAGCGTCTGCCTTCGGCTCAGATCATGGTCTCAGGGTCCTGGGATCGAGTCCTGCATCAGGCTCCCTGCTCATGCACACTTGCGCACTCTCTCCCTCCCCCTCTCTAGTTCACTCTCTCAAATAAAATCTTAAAAAATAAAACTGCCCTAAAAATAAATGCTACAAGTTAAAAGGAAAAGCCCGGATGTCTGAAAAACGTGTTTTTCCTAAATTTAATTTGAATGAATTTGCATCAGAATCTTATGAATGGACACAGGGCTTGGCCCACACCCTTGGTCGGGTGTCCACAAACAGACGCCAACAGGAAGAAAAGGGTGCAGGGCTCCCTCCAGCCTGAGGGAAAGACGAGGAGCAACGCAAGTGTCGGGATTTGGAGGGAGGGGTGCTGCGGGGCAAGAGCGTGTTAGGTCCTCAATTTTCTAAGAGAAGAGGCAACAGATGCACGTAGGCATTCTCTTTGCACAGTGGTTATGTTAGGTAAGCATGCTCTCCTCTTCTGCCTGTCATCGCTGGTCTTGGGGCGATTTCCCCCGGTTTGGGGCCCCTGCGACACCACGGGGCTGCTGGCCCGCGTGTAACCCACCGCTGTTCTCAAGGGCTGACTCCAGGGACGAGCTTCCCTTAGAGACCATGCTGCTTTCGGTGCGTTCTGTTCTGCACCTGCTTCGGGGCCGTGACCATGATGTCCCTCGTACGTCCTCGGATACGCTTCCCCAGCAGCACAGGGAACAGCACGCCATTAAGTGCCAGACTTGGACAGTAAACTTTGTCTCATTTTCCTCCCTGTGCCTCAGCCGCCGGCGGGCTGAGGGCGACGTTCAGCCACAGCACCTACAGTGGAGACCCACGTCTGTGGAGCCGTCACACACACCCCGTCGTTGGGGATTTCCCCTCCGTCTTCTGGGACTTTAAACAACTTCTCATGCCAATGGCTTTATTGTGTTACGTTCAGCATGTTAGATGCTCCAGACTTTTTGGAAGAACGTTTAAGTGAAAGCCCAGGCTGGTTTCTAGCAGCGCGTCCGGGGCATGGGCCGGGAGGGGGGCTGCACAGAAGCTCTTTTTCACACGGACGGACGACTCTGGGTCCTGTCTCCTCCTCTGCGTCTGGTGTAGCAGAGCGGGCTGTGGCGATTGAAGGTGTAGATGGTGCTCGCCCCCAGGTCGCGAGCGACTGCCAGGAGGCCAGGGCTGGGCAGCAGCGTGACCAGCAGGGACAGGTCCCCCATCAGAATGCTCCTGACAGCGGCCGTGATGCACGCCTTCACTCGTACTGGGGCAGATGGTGTGATGTCTGGGTTGTTTCGTGTCTCCTGAGCCAGTGGGTGACAGTGGGTGTAGGGCAGCATCAGCGGGCCTGGCCCCAGGAGGGCAAGGTGCTCCTGTCCGCGGGGCGAGACTCATGGTCCACAGCCCCGTGTCAGGTGGAGGAGGGGGGCGAGCATGTTGGAGAGCTGGTGAGCCTGTGGTAGTGCTCCCACCCCGTCCCGCACGGCAGGAGGAAGTCCTGACGAGGAAGGAACCCTTTGCAAACGGACCTCTCACTGCAACAGCCCTGCGTCGGCAGCCCCTTGGCATCAGCCCGATGGTCTGTTGCCTTTCCGGGTGAAGCTCGGGTCGGGGTAAGAACAGCCCGAGGACAGAGCACGAGGTAGGGATTTTATCAGGAATCATAAATCTCCCCCACATTACCTGTGTTCCTTGCTGTCTCTTTTCTAGCAAAAGCCTAAACTTCAAGTCATTAAGACAGCCTAGGTGGAAAAACATGTTTTCAGAAGCCCAGGGTTTGCACTTGAATTTAGGCATGTCCGAGATGAGGCCGGGCTCTCCCCAACAGGAGCATGGCCAGGTTAGAGGGGGACGGGACAGCCAGCGCCCCAAGCACGCTCGTGCGCTGGCGAGCATCCGCGTCGGCTGGGGAGGGGGTTTTACTCAGGACCCGGGGAGCCGGCTCGGTCTGCAGGAATGGACATGAGAGCAGCCAGAGCAGGGGCGGAACGTCCCTGGCCCAGAGTTGGCGGGTTTCATCGGCTCCTGCCTCATGTCGGATGGATTCTGCCGCGTCCGTCTGAGTCCTCCCGAGAGGGTCTCTGCTGTAGGCTGTCTGTCCTCTCTCGGAAGACAGGATTGTGTTCTCCGCTCCGCGTCCCTGTGGGACAGAGCCAGGCCCGCTCGCTGGCGGAGGGCCTGTCCCTGCAACGCCTCCCATGTGCTGTCGTGTGGCCGCAACCTTGCAAACCGTAGGGAGAGAGCAGTGCCCGTGGCAGCACACGGCCACGGGCCGCAGGGCAGGTGCCCGCTGGATGCCCTCGGACCCCACGCTGGCCAGCTTTGCCTTCTTGTTTAAGCAGGGTTTGGTTTGGTTTGGTTCTTTTTCATTTTCATTTCACTCTCGGGATATTTTTCTTCTCATGTGGATGAAGGGCAGTCTTCTGTGGCATTTGTAGCCTTTTCGTGTGGGACCCACCGTGAGCAGTGCCAGCACCCTATTGCTGCTCCCTAGGGAGACCAGTACACCGTTTCCACCCTGACACAGAAGACCTTCCTCACGGTGGAGCCTCCTTTCTTCCTCATGTGAGATGAGATCCCTCCTTTCTCTGAGAGTCGGACAGGGAAGGACAGGGCACAAGTAATCACAAGGAATCTCTTCGAGCAGGAAGAGGCCAGAGGAGTCATCTGTTCGGGGAGGCAGGCACCGGCCAGGACCCCGCTCGCTGAGGGAGAACCGTGCCTTTGTGCCCTCCCCTCAGATGGGCCAGGCGTGGGCCTGGGGAGAAGCCTGCAGGCAGGGAGAGCGGGTCCTGGGCACCAGACGCCAGCGTCCAGGGACGTTGCCCCTCGTTTTCTGGTTCCACCCTTGACACCGGGATGCCCTTTCTGACATCCTCACAGTCCTAATGCAGTGGTCAGAGCTGCTTGATACGTCCAAAATGCCCGGCAGGGCTTTCCAACACCCTAAAATAGCGGTCGCTACGCATGGACAGCCGGCAGAGCGGAAGTGTGTCTGAAACAGCCCTCATTTTTGGCTCAGTTTTGCTCCCCAGCCCGACTCCCTGGCCTGTGGGGGGTGCCTGTCCTGGTTGCTGGCCCGCTGGGTACCCCCAGACACAGCAGCCCTGCTCACGCAGGGACCGGGCCACGCAGTGGGCCTGCTCGGCCCTTTCTCCTTCAGCCCACCCACTCCTAACTGTCCGCCCAGTTTGGCCCCACATCCCCGTGGCTTTCTCCATCTGTAGCAAATGGCGAATATCCAGACGCCACAGTTGGGCAGCCAGCTGCTGGACAGAGGCGTGTCCACTTCACCCAGCCGTTCGGACGAGCCCGGCGCTAGCTCAGTGTCGCGGTCCCAGCCTCCCGACCCAGCGTGAGCACCACGTCTGTCTACAAGTGCGACAAGGCAAAGCCCACAGGTTCTCAGTGCTGTTGCGATGGGGGCCATTAGTCCTAACGCAGCCTCCCTGGGTCCTGAGCGGGTGTGTCTCTTACAATTCTGGAGTAATGCACCTGGTGTGTTAACTTCTGAAGGTTAACGTCATTAAGCCCAATGGCATATTCTAGAACCGTTCCCATAGTGCATGGGATCTAGGCCGTTTTTCTTGGATTGACCCCTCGTCTGCTGCCGTCAGCATCAAGTCTTCCTTGAGACAAACACCAGTGACCCTAGTGGTTATCATCTAACCCAAAATTGGAATAGTGAGTTCTTCCACATCATCAGATTACCGCTGCCACCGCTCGGGTGCTCTCCCTCCCTCCCCAGGGCTGCCAAAGAGAAGGTGTCAGTCCCCCTGTCCTGCCCCGACCCCCAGGATTCAGCTGCAGCAACAGGAGGTCCACACCCAAGGCTGGCTGCGTGGGAGCCCCACGTGCCCAGCAGCACCCCTCCAGCCCCCTTCCGTCTTCAGAGTCCTTACTAGTTAGGAGGAGGGCCGCTGTGATCATGCAGAGCGTGGCTGGGGCGTGCTGAGCTTCACTTCCCCACGGGCGTGGAGACACAGCGTGCCACCTCTCCATGCCCCCAGCGCCTGCTCCACAGGATTCAAGCACTCTTCCAATAAAAACTGCCTTTTAGATGAATGAACAGCACTGCAGTCCTATAGTGGCCAAGATGCAAAACCAGGCATTTAAAAAAAACAGCTGGGAAGGATTTAACCCGCTCTGGTTGTGACTGCACCAATGTCGTCTGCAGTTGTTTGTTTGTTTGTTTGTTTTAAGATTTTATTTGAGAGAGAGAGCATGAGCAGGGGGAGGGGCAGCGGGAGAGGGAGAAGCAGACTCCCCGCTGAGCAGCGAGCCCGATGCGGGGCTCCATCCCAGGACCCGAGATCATGACCGGAGCCGAAGGCAGACGCTTAATGACTAAGCCACCCAGGTGTCACCACCCACAGTCCTTAAGATTTAATCACCAATAAGTATTTTTTTTAATGGAAAAGAGTTTCTTTTCTGAAACGAGGTTTTGCTGTCCGAGTTGGCCAGTCCTGCCTCCAGGGCTCGGACGCACCTGGGTCAGAAGGTAGACTCTCTCTGCAGCCACAGACCTGGGCCCTGCCGAGGCTTCACAAGCGCCTCAGCCCTGGGCAGTGCGGTCCCCACGGCCTGCAGCCGGTTCAGAGCTATGGTGTCATGCTTACTCCTTTCCTTTTCTGCAAGTGCTGAGTTGAGTCCTGGTTCCTCTCGATGCAGAATCATTTTCCCAGCTGTTGTGCAGGCTTGGTGACTGGGACGTGGCCTCTGTGGCCTGTCCCGTGTCTCTCTCCATCTCCCCTCCAGAGCTCAGCCGCCGTCTGCTGCCGGACCACCTAATACTTTGATTTCTGAGCTCTCTTTGTGTTGGACGGTGCTCACCAGCAGACTGAACATGCCCCAGCAACCCACCCGGCGTCGACCGGGTGCTAAATATGGAGGAAGGGAACCGTAGGCTCAAAAACAGCCAAGTCATCATACCTTCTTTTTCTGTTTGCAGAGTCCGCTTGGTGGAAAGAGGCTCTCCTCATAGCTTGCCCCTCATGGAATCAGGAAAAGTAAGTATTGAAGGAAGAAAGATATATTTCTGTGTAAGTTTGAGTCTCCGCATATGGGCTTTGACATTTTAAGAAAGGTATTTTATACAGTATTTTCTCCAAAAAGTTTTCTTAAATGTAATATTTCAGGACTAGGTTTGGCCATGAGTACAGGAACTGCACAAACAACAGTGTTTTAAACAAGTTAGATTTTTTTAAATTTTTTAAACGATTTATTTTTAAAGAATTTATTTATTTGACAGAGAGAGATGCAGTGAGAGAGGGAACACAGGAGGAGTGGGGGAGGGAGAAGCAGGCTTCCCACGGAGCAGGGAGCCCGATGTAGGAACTCGATCCCAGGACCCTGGGATCATGACCTGAGCTGCAGGCAGACGCTTAACGACTGAGCCACCCAGGCGCCCCTAGATTTTTCTTTCCTCTCACATAAAAGACATCATGAAAACTCCAGGGGCCCTGCCATCTTCTGTCTTGTTTTGCTTTGCATGGATCCCATTCCCAGGGTGCCTCAGGGTCAGAAGTGGCTGCTCCCACCCTAGCCATTGCTTCCACATTCCAGCAGCCGCAGCTGCAGAAGCAGGAAAGGGAAACTAAAGGTGCAGACCTCAGCGAAGGCTCCTAAGCTACCTTATACACACTTCAGTACCGCTGTCCAGAATCTGGTCACACGGCCACACTGACGGAGAGAAAGGTTGGAAATGTTGTATCGGTTCTGAATATCCATGGGCCTAACTAAAAACCCAGTGCCGATTGCTGTGAAAGTAGACGAAGAAGGGCGGTCACGGGACAGAGTAGTTTCTGCCACTGTGGGTATGTTTTTTATTCGCGTCAGAGGGCAAGACCTCTTCACTTACACCTAAGTGAAGACTTCTTTTTCCTGTTTTTGGCCTCACTTGACGTAATTCCAGAAGTGCCTCGTGTCACTTCTGGACCTTTTGTAATCTCCGTCCACATGAGCACCAGGTAGAGTTCTAGTACTCAGTTGGTTCTAACGGTAGGACGCTGTGCTTGCCTGCCCCAAGCCAGCCGTTAGCAGGACGAGGGACCAGAGCCACCACATTACACATCAGACCGGAGCCACCACATTACACGTCGAGGGACGGGACAGGACTTCTCACCACCGATGTTTTGCCGAATCTCAACCCTTCCCAGTAGCTGAACCAACACGGGCTGTTTTCTAAATTTGCAGAACCAGCTTTTGCTGCCACATGCATGTGGTGTTAGTGAAATTCAGAATGTTTCCAAGCCAAACTTCCGTTAAGAGGGAGATGCTTGATATGAGCATTCTGATACAAGACAGTGACCTGCAGGAGGGTGTGGAAGCCTAACCAAGGTGGAGAGCTGGACGGGCATTCAAGTCAGAACATGCTGGGATGTGCCGGCTCTTCCTTCCTCCCGCCACTGCACTGTGCCGTGCCCACCTGTGCTTTTAGTCCACGCTCATCTCAGAAAACTTGATCCGTGACCTCCTTAATTCAGTACCTACTGCAGACCTCACCCCTTCCTCCACATTAGCGTCCCATGATGTCACGCACAATGTTAAACATAAGTGGAAAATTAATTGAAATACCTGAAGATTCCTGTTTTGCAAGCGTCAGGCTGAGTTACATCATTTATCCTGTTTTTATTCAGATTTTTAATTTAAGATCACATTAACGCAGGCTCTATCACCGTAGTAATAATTGCAATAAGATGCAATTGTCACATAGTAATTATGTCATGCTGTGGTATGTAATTTTGATTTAAAGCCATACCACTTTCTAAACAGTTTTAGAAAAGGAAAACAGGCATGTGGCATGAAGGCAAGGTCAAGGCTGATTGGAGTGTAGCATCTCCCTCTCTCCACTGACGAGAATGTTCTCCTTGCCCACATAGATACTTCCAGGGGTTCGGATCATAATTGCCAATCCAGAAACAAAAGGACCGTTGGGCGACTCCCACCTGGGTGAGGTGAGTTACGGGGTGCCCACCCGGGAGAGGTGAG